TATCAGGGATAAGATCGGATGGCAAGAAACAAAAAAAGAGAAAATCGTTTGGAACATTTATGTTTCTAGTAATTTATAGATCATATTGAAATATGTTTTTTAGCGTTAAAGATAGGACAAATCTCTTTTATAAACTTTTTTCTCTAAGCAGTAGAAGTGGTTTTAAATTTAAGTCCGGTCTTACCCCTTAATGGCCAATTTTTCATTATGCATATAAAAAAGTATGTCTAGTTTTCGCACACCTTTAAAGCAGAAACCGTTGAGTTTACACAAACAAAAGATTCTCAGAGCTAAACTACGTTTAACGATTAACGGTTTGCTCCATGTTCCATAAATCTGACGTATACGAATGTCGAGAAATTAAAGTTTTTGGCAGACTCTTCCAACTATTCGAAAATCCGTCCGGTATTACCCCAACGTACCTTAATTTATAATAATTATTTAAAAAATAATTTATAATAATAAATGCCGCTTTGTTAAAATATTTATATCTTCCTTAACTCCTGCATTATCCCAGGGCATTTCGCCAGTCCTTACTGTTATTTTTTTTCCCCATATAAAATCAAATGCATCCGATCTTTCTCTTATATTGAGTAATTCCATCTTGTCATAACAAAGTTTGAGAAACATAAAATTACAATTTCTTTATATCAGGGATAAGATCGGATGGCAAGAAACACAAAAAGAGAAAATCGTTTGGAACATTTATGTTTCTAGTAATTTATAGATCATATTGAAATATGTTTTCGAGCGTTAAAGATAGGACAAATCTCTTTTATAAACTTTTTTCTCTAAGCAGTAGAAGTGGTTTTAAATTTAAGTCCGGTCTTACCCCTTAATGGCCAATTTTTCATTATGCATATAAAAAAGTATGCCTAGTTTTCGCACACCTTTAAAGCAGAAACCGTTGAGTTTACACAAGCAAAAGATTCTCAGAGCTAAACTACGTTTAACGATTAACGGTTTGCTCCATGTTCTATAAATCTGACGTATACGAATGTCGAGAAATTAAAGTTTTTGGCAGACTCTTCCAACTATTCGAAAATCCGTCCGGTATTACCCCAACGTACCTTATTAATATCATAATTCAGTGTATATAGGCTGTAACTTTTTTAACTTATATTTGTAGGCGTAAATAAACTATTTAATTCAATAATAATCTTGGAAAATAAATTATCTCAACACTAAGAACAATAAAACGCAATTTTATTTTATAACCTTACACTATTGAAATTAATGATCAAAACAAGTATTTGAAGCATTTATTTTTATACAAAATTAGCATTTATTTTTATACAAAATTAGCATTTATTTTTATACAAAATTAGCATTTATTTTTATACAAAATTAGCATTTATTTTACACAGATAATTATTATGTACTTAATACACAACTTTAAATTAATCTCAAAAAGACAAAAAGTGATCGTTGCGACCGGGGACTGAAGCCTGGTTTCTAGAACTTGATCTTAAAATTTTCTCTAAATTTGTTAAGAAAATAACAAAAGTAATTCAACCGGTGGATCGAACCCGGAATCAAAGATTATTGTCTTAAAAATTCCCTTTATGAATTTACTAAGAAAAATATTGCTAAGAAAACAACAAGTTCGACCGGGCATTCGATTCTTTAAAATTTTACTAAGAGTTTTCTTATAGTATAATTATTGCTTGATAATTTATCTTTAGAAGCTATTCGTAATTGGTAATAAATTGAAATATTGTTTATAGACGCGTCGCCAACAGTATGCGATAATTACCAGGAAGGTGAAAAAATATTTCCTAATTTCAAAGCACACACAACTACAAAAGCTTTTTTCGACCGGGCATTCGATTCTTTAAAATTTTACTAAGAGTTTTCTTATAGTATAATTATTGCTTGATAATTTATCTTTAGAAGCTATTCGTAATTGGTAATAAATTGAAATATTGTTTATAGACGCGTCGCCAACAGTATGCGATAATTACCAGGAAGGTGAAAAAATATTTCCTAATTTCAAAGCACACACAACTACAAAAGCTTTTGGTGAAACAAAAATCATTTGACTTGTTGATTATTTTTTTATTAGATTAGTTTTAGAGCAAGAAAAGAAAATGCCCGCCGCAGTGCAAGTAACAAATTCATCAGTGCCGGCTGGGCTCGAACTCGGGTTGCTTGCGTAGTGTGAAATTTGCAGTGAGCGCTAACCATCTGAGCTACTATGTATACGTGCTCGTATACGTGTTAACCAATTTTTAGATAATATACTTACATTTATTTCTATTCTATTTTTATAAAGTTTAATATTTATAATTATGTTATTGATAAACATTTTATTAATAAATATATAATTATTAATCTAATGACCATAATAAAACAAAATTAATATTAAATAAGGTACGTTGGGGTAATACCGGACGGATTTTCGAATAGTTGGAAGAGTCTGCCAAAAACTTTAATTTCTCGACATTCGTATACGTCAGATTTATGGAACATGGAGCAAACCGTTAATCGTTAAACGTAGTTTAGCTCTGAGAATCTTTTGCTTGTGTAAACTCAACAGTTTCTGCTTTAAAGGTGTGCGAAAACTAGACATACTTTTTTATATGCATAATGAAAAATTGGCCATTAAGGGGTAAGACCGGACTTAAATTTAAAACCACTTCTACTGCTTAGAGAAAAAAGTTTATAAAAGAGATTTGTCCTATCTTTAACGCTAAAAAACATATTTCAATATGATCTATAAATTACTAGAAACATAAATGTTCCAAACGATTTTCTCTTTTTTTGTTTCTTGCCATCCGATCTTATCCCTGATATAAAGAAATTGTAATTTTATGTTTCTCAAACTTTGTTATGACATAAGATGGAATTACTCAATATAAGAGAAAGATCGGATGAATTTGATTTTATATGGGAAAAAAATAACAGTAAGGACTGGCGAAATGCCCTGGGATAATGCAGGAGTTAAGGAAGATATAAATATTTTAACAAAGCGGCATTTATTATTATAAATTATTTTTTAAATAATTATTATAAATTACATTTTGATTTGTAATAGAGGATAGATATAGATGTCTATGGGCCGCAGCAATCACTTTACATCAGGTGGACTGTGTGCTCCTTTGTCACCCTTATCCTATAAAAAATGTACTTAAAAGTAATAAAACCATCGTATTGTTTTATTACTTTTAAATATACAGACTTGCTATCGAGACTGAGTCCCATAGTCACTTGAGTAATCAACGAAAAAATATACACGACCAATGAAAGTTTAACAACCACTGCCATATTTTTAACAGGCAAAGATCGGATAATATTCATCCGATCTTCACTCACGAGGGGAAACATCGGATCTCGGCCTACAGCGATCTTACCCCTGCATGGACCAGCTTTATTTAGCTATAACTTCATAAAAATTAGTATCCACACAAAATAATAACAAAAGAAGCCATATTCTCGCTAAAAATCGTAAATAAAAGTGATAGGGAAAGATCGGATGGACAAAAATGATACAAAAATTACATTGTTTTATAAAATGCCACGCAGCACAGGTCCCACTTGCCGGAGTGACTGGCGCGAACTGAGGGTCGGGGCAGGATGAAATGGCGTCGTGTAGCATATTGTTAGCTTTTCAAAATATAGCATAATTCGCCGGGAATTTGAATCCTACGGTCTTGCCCCATCACCGATCTTACCCCAACGTACCTTACATAACCATTATTTTCATCTGTTATCCAAAGACAAATCAACTAAAAAAGTCCAGGACCAACAACAACCAACGATACGACGCGACCTTGAGCTTGGTAATATAACAAAATAAAACAAACTAATAATAATATTATGTGTCTGTCTGAAACTGTTTGCAAAATACGTAATAGGTATTTTTATGTAACCCCGCAAAACTATATTTTGCAAATGTTTGTAAAATTAATTTTGTGACTACTTTGGTGGTTTACCAATTTATAATTTTATTTATTGTTTAAAAAAATATTCAAACAACACTGACTTTGTAGTTTTGTACTTAACACCGACACGTATGACATAGGTAATTAGTATTGTGACGAGATTTGAAATCACGGGCCAACTTGCGTTTCTAATACCACCGAAAACAAAATTGCGTATTTTGAATAATTAACTACTATACCTAAAATAAATTACAATATATTGTATTATATTGGAATCAAATACATACTAGAAATATGCAATATTTCTATTATAATTGAACCAATGAAAATCATACAAAAATATAATATAAATCGCAAGAAATTCCGCGCGCAAATCCTATCCCTTGACAATCGAGATTTACTAAAGAATGTTTAAATTTTATTACAGTCAAACAAGACAAGGAAGTTTTGCATCGCTTTTTCTTCAATGCATCTAGTTCAAGGTTAGGAAGTACGGCATCGTTGCATAATATCTACCCACAAATAATGGTATTTGTTGGACAACTATTTCGTCTGCACACCATCTAGCCTGCCAATGTTTAAACTATGTTTTGGCGCTTTTGCTTGTCAAGTTGTCAAAATTCACTCACACTACTAAAGAAGTGTTAAAATTTTTTAGATTTCACTATTGTTTTTCTTAATAAATACTGTAAGTTATATCCTAATAAGGTCAATCGCGAGCACATTTCAGTGTAGAAGTGATAAAATGATTAGTTTTAATCAAATAGTGTTTGTGTTTAACATATATATGAAAAGAAAAATGTATCTATATGGCTATCGGAGGATACCCCTTAATGACTCTTTCTTACATTTAATAATTTATTGTATTTACTCGAACACTAAACATTGAATTAAAGTAGTTTTACGAATTTTTTCACGTTTCAGTTTTAACTCTTTTCTTAACTGAATATTTTCGGGATATTTCTTTTTAGTTTTGTTGAATTGTACAATTTGTTGGCCCTTTACTTAACAACTATAAAGATTACGTGACAAAATAGACATTACCATGACCAACCACCAATTTCGAAAACGTTATTATTGTTGTAATAATATAATAAGGATAAAATAAAATGAAACCTTGCAGGTACGATAGGAGCAATGGAAGCGTGCACCGCGGCCGGGTCAACCGCGCGAGCCACTACCAGTCGAACCCTGGAACCTGACGCCCGCAACACGCCGGCCACTTGTTCCGACCCCATTTCCATAAGACTTACCTAAGAACGATTGAACAGTGATTACTGAATTATTTGCATGCCATTAAAACATTTTTAAAATTTTTGTCTCTCTGTCTGTCTGACTGGGCTTATCTTCAGGATGGCTGAACCGATTGTAATGAAACTTCGAGAAAAGATAAAGAGAACAGATAAAGAGTAATGTCAGGAGTGATCTAGGTTATATTCTTTAAGAACTAACTTGGAGATTTTAAAACAAAAAAATGGTCTTCGATTAATTACCATAAATGTAAATGTCGCCAACATCAATAGATCCAACCCAGGCGACGCTGGGCCGCATCGCTAGTTATTAATAAAATAGAAAATTATATTATGGTTCATACATATAATATTCTATTTAATTAATAATATTTAATACATAAGATATAAATACATAAATGTAATAACAGAAAAATTTTAAGCGTCACATACATCTCCTATTTGCAATATATGATCTCCTGACTTGAGTCTGCCGTCACGGTCTGCGACACCACCCGCCAAAATAGTTTTTACAATGACACCAGTTGTTCGAGCGCCTATAATACCTGAAATAAATTATAATAATAGTAATATTATCACAATAATCTCGCATACTATTGAATTTATTTATGTAAGCAAATTGTAATTACTTCATTAATGAATTTGCCCGGCAACGTGTAGTAAATTTACTATAATTGGATGAATTGATATTATATCAGCAATTAATGATCAGTAATTACCAAATCCTAAGCCAGTTCCATCGTTTACTAAGTTGATAGTCTCAACTTGAGCCCAATCACCAGCGACTATGTTGGTAGAAGTCGAAGCTAAAGAGTCGTCATTGCGCGATAAGTCCAGTAATCCACGCGACTGTAAGATAAAGTAAGATACTAAGACAAAACAAAGATGCAAAACTTCTATACGTACATCCCAAAATATCATAATATTCTGAAGACTACAGGATAAATTACGCAAACACTTATAATGCCCATTATTCATTATGCACATATGTGCTACCCAGATTTGAACCAAAATCTTAACAAGCTAGTGTCTTTTCAATAATTGTATTAGATATATGTTAGGTCTCTGAAAATATTATCACATCTTTCATTATCGTGAACGCCTGAAATGGCTTACTATCAGAAAAAGATAAAAGTAGAATTCTGCTTGTTCTAGTCTCAATTTTGATCCAACTTCTCCAACATATCTCAAGGACAAATTCTAGTATCTCTTTTCAACTCATTCAACTCCATTGCACTATGAGAGTGAGGGAATAGAGATTGCACCTGTGCTTGCGCATACATTTGGGCACTTTAATCCTGTCCTGTGCCGATGGCTAGTCTCCGTTGAGGCTGGCCGCCGTGACCAAAATTCGGTCTGGAGGACATTATTATTATTATTGTGTAGATGTATATGGACCTCATTATCCATTATACCAACAAGTGGACTATGTGCTCGTTCATCACCGTGTAGACGAGTAGAGATGATGATCAAGTGATGGATTCTCTTGCACCGTCATCTAATCATACGATCAGTATTCCATCTCATTTTACTGTGTTCACATGCTTTTCCTTCTAATTCTTTATCATCTAAGTATTCTGTAACTAGGGATGTTAATTTTAATACCGCATCTTCTGTTGATCTATTTGATCGAAATCCATACTGATTGTCTTCAAGATATTTATTTTTTCCATCGTCTTCAAAAAGGAGACGGTACTCAATTCGAATGTATGTTGTTTTTTTATGTGTTACCTCATAACTTTTTCCTGGGTGACCAGATTTCGATGATTATTTTTTTTATTTGAAAGCTGGTACTTCTCATGTGGTCTCATATAAATTTGATCAAGGTTTGACCAATAGTTTTTGAGTTATTCTTAATAATTTATATTGAAGTCGGTTGTACAAAATTTTTAATTTTAAATTATTCCAAGTAATTAACAAGTCTTTTTTTCATAAGCTTTTCAATTGTTTTCGGTAATGTAGACAGTAGCGTAATAGGCCTATATTTATGTGGTGAATTTTTACTGTCTCCTTTGTGGATCGGACATACCACTGCTTTCTTTAACAGATTAGGGAAGTGTCCAGTACTAAAACTCAGATTACAGATATAAGTAATTGGTTTTGTTAAGTAACCGCAGATTTTTTTCAATATCTTGGCTGTTATTCCGTCGAAACCAGGTGCACTGTCTGTTTTTAGGCTTAAAATAGTATTTTATGACTTTATCCTCTTCGGTTCGATATATTAAGAATGAACTCGGTGGTGTATTAACTGATTTAGAATTTAAGGCAAAATCTGATTCACTTTTGCCTAATTGATATATATATCTTATTGGCAAGATTACGCCCAACATTAACAAAATATTCATTAACATGATTTAGTGATTCATTTGGCGTTGTATAAATATGGTGCAAATCTGTAGATGAGGAGCTTTTTTGTCCCATAGTACAGACGTCCTTAATAATCATCCAGATTTCCTTGGCATTTACAGAGCATTGTCCGGACGTCATTGGTATTATTTAATTTTAGTGATCTAACTATCTTGTTGCACCAACTTCTATACGAAATAATCCTGTTCTAAGTTGCTCATTTGCGGGTGCTGTTTGTAGTAAAGATCTCTTTTTCGCAGCATTCTAGCCACAGATATGGTTATCTAGGGCTGTAAGGGTCTATTTCTTCTAGATACTTTAATTATTTCGGTATTAGTATTGATAATACCAGGCAGCCTGGTAATTACCAATTCCGTAGCCAAATTAACATCACTTATTTTATAAAGATCCTCCCACGATTATTTGTCATGGCTCATTTTTCCAAAGTCCATAGATATTTTATTACAAACTATGTATTTTATTATTGGTCATGGGTGTATTTTCTATATATAGTAAAATAGGTGAGTGGTCTGTTAGTTCATTCTAAACAATATTATTCCATTTATTACGGCATTTTATAATAAAATGATCAAAACAAGAGTCACCCTTTGTTAGAAGGTCGACATCTTGAACAAGCCCGTACATCATCAAGTTCAGATATATATTACGGTCTCTCCCAAGCTTATCCGCTGAAATATCTATATTAATATCCCCAGTAAAGATGATAATGTTGGATTTTATGCTACGTAATATTTGATCTAGCGAGTCAATATAATCTGATGGATTTCTAAAACAGGGTGGCCTATAGGAATTTAAAATAGTGATTTTATTTGGCAGAGACAGGATGAGGGAGTTTCCATCTTTCATATTGGGTTCACTTCACGACGCTCGAATATTGTCCCTTACATACACTACCACACCGTCGTTTTGATTGATGCTCGGCTTGGTATGAAACATCCTATAATTATTCAACATAGACAGGGTACTATTTGCATTGGTACAAGATTCTGAAAGGACTAATTAGTACTAACTAGATGTTTTATTATTTGCAATTTTAATATATTATGTATTTTATTATCATATGTAATGTATATATTATATCTATGATACATAGATCTAATACATATTTTTTTCATATATTTACATTCACTATCTGTAAAGATTTTGTAGATTATATGTATAACATAGTACGTATGTATGTAGACGGCTCCGTGGCGCAGTGGCTTAGCAATGAGTTGTTGCACTGGGGGGCGCGGGTTCGAATCCCGCACGGAACAAGTATTTGTATAGCCTACAAATAATTGTTCCGGGTCTGGATGTTTGTCCTAGTGAAATTTGTGTTTGTAAACTGCCTCCACGATAAAGGAGAAAATCCTAGTGTGGGGGTAACGTCTTTAAAAAAAAGAAAAGAAAGAAAGATATAATGTCTTTATATATGTATTTGTAGTTGTACCTGCCACAAAATCTCATCACTCCACAAGTTGACTGGCAAAAAATACTGTTAGGCATTAAGTCCGCCCTTTGTTACCCTAGTTATTAAGATGTTAACAATAAAGATTAAATAAAATAAATAAATACAATAAAATAAAAAATACATTACTTTTGCAAAGAATTTACATTTTTTTACTTTATCATAATCATGTGTAACCATGTGTTTGCCATGTGGTGAGACGGTTTTAGAAAATCCATCACGTATCCCCAATCGGTAAGGTTCAATTTAGGGAAAGTTCAAAAATATCCTGTGGCCTGTGATAAAGGGCAGAGTAACAATATGTGATGATTCAGACTACTCCTTACTCATATGACCAAAGCTAATTGTAAGTTTAAAATTGGGATAGTTTCATAACTTTTCAACAATTTGCAAGCAGATACCTTTTAGAAAAAAGTATTAGATGCCCTTAGGCAACGTTAAACGCTAGTCTATGTTAATGATATTTTATTCACCAGTTCAGAAACTGGTGATCATACTCAGGTTTACTGCTTTTATTCAAATTGACTACGAAATGCTATAATGCAATTCAAAGTAAGCACCTGGTCCCTGAAATAACTTTAAAAGTATAGTAACAGCCTATATACGTCCCATAGATAGGCAAAGCCTCCTCTCATTTCTTAGAGGGTTTAAGGAAAGGAAGTGTCCGCCCCGCTGCCCCAATGCGTGTTGGCGGACTTCACATGTGTTCCAGAAATATTTCTTTTTATTTTTCAGACATGCAGGTTTCCTCACGATGTTTTACTTCACCGCAGAGCACGTGAAAACATCACTAAAAATTGCAATTTACAATTTCGTTGGAGCCGGCAGGAATATAACCCGTTGCTCGCGTACTGTGAAATTTACAGCGAGCGCTAACGCACTGAGCTACCACGGCCAGTAACTATACTTTAAAAAAATCAAATTGGAAAGAAGCAATTAAAAAATATTTGAAAATTTTTTACCTGCTTTGGGGACATGCTGGAATCGATAGAAGCTGTATCAAGACCCATTATACGCTCATTTTCTGAGTTTGATCCGAAATCCAAGCTATGTGGCGGTGAAACCTGAGGCACTCTTTGCTCTTCCTCTCCCTCGTGCGAACCATAAAGGTTTCTCGTTTGCAAAGCTAAATCACCTTCAACAGAATGAGAATATTTTAATTTGAATTTGTACACCGAAATATAATATTGCTCTTACTACTCCATCTATATAATGATCAGGCTTTTACATTACTATATTTAATAGAATAAGAAATTACATTAAAAAAATAAAATCTAATAAAATTAAATAAAAGCCGCAGATAATGTTGATTTCAGCAGTGCGATGGCAGCATAAAAGAATCCATCACACCATTTCGTCTCATGGATGTAATAAAAGGAGGTTACGAGAAATGTCTGAAAGATCTCGTAAACGCCAGGCGGAAAATAAACAGACCGGCGACGGGGAACAGCGCCAAAGATGCGAGACGTCCTGCGCTCGACACTCCGCCTGCCAAGCGTAACGATTTATTTTTTAACATCTCAAAACGCTGCCCATATCCTTCATATCTATACAAATAAATAAAATTGAAGTGTCTCTTTGTAATGTTAAAATAACAGCTTTTTACTAAATGCATATGAAAGTAAATACGCTACTAATAACAAAAAAAAAATAATTATTAAAATTTTTGTCTGTCTGTCTGTTTGTTCCGGCTAATCTCCGAAACGGCTTGACCAATTTTGACAGAATTTTCACTGACAGATAGCTGATGTTATAGGGAGTAACTAAGGATACTTTCTATTTTAGAAAAATAATTAGGGTTCCGTGTAAAAAAATTAAAACCCATGAAACGGTAGTAAATTCCACGCGGGCGAAGTCGCGGGGGACAGCTAGTACACAAATATTTGTTCATTAACACCTAAATTTAAAATAATTTTGAAACATAAACAACTTTTATCGCATTGAACTAACTTGGTTAAAAGAATCGATAAAAAGATCAAACTATAATAAAATTGGTAAATCCAATTGGGCATGCCTTAAGCGCATTAAAAAAATTACGTATAACATGATTATAAGGAATTTTTTAAAGTAGTTTAAATACATTTCGACAGTACTATCGGCTTCAACACCCTCGAAAACCATAAAAATGACACCCATGATGAAAAAATTTATAACTAGTTCAGCCGCCACCTTGGATATTCCATTTCGACAGAACTATCGACTTTACCACCCTCGAAAACCATGAAAATGACACCCATGATGAAAAAATTGATATCTATTACAGCCGCCATCTTGAATTTACATTTCGACAGCACTATCGACTTCAACACCCTCGAAAAGCGTGAAAATAACACCCATGATGAAAAATTAATACCCATTGCAGCCGCCACCTTGGGTTTACATTTCGACAGCAATATCGGCTTTAACACCCTCGAAAACCATGAAAGTGACACCCATGATGAAAAAATTTATACCTATTGCAGCCGCCACCTTGGATTTACATTTCGACAGCACTATCGGCTTCAGCACCCTCAAAAACCATGGAAATGACACCCATGATGAGAAAATTGATACCTATTGCGGCCGCCATCTTGGGTTTACATTTCGACAACCCTATCGGTTTCAACACCCTCGAAAACCATGAAAATGTCACTCATGACAAAAAAATTGATACTACTTACTTTTAGTGCGTACTACTATTACTTATTCTGTGCTTTTAAAAGATTGTAATAAAAAAATCCCTTATTATTATTATAATCAAGAATTTAAGAAATTTGGTTATTTGAATATTGTGTATTTGTACAGCGATCTTTTTGAGCCGCTGCAAACAACCGAAACAATGTCCACTAACGACGGCGATTGACGCCGAACTGAGTGAGTGAGTAAACTACTCTGTGGCTGTAGCTCCCTATTTACAGAAATAATTTACATACAAGGCTACCAAATCAACGAAAATTTCGCCATTTTGGATCCGAAAAAAATTAATTATAGCTAAACAAAACAAAATTACACTGCCATTTACATTCAGTGGCTTCCCACATGATGGATGAAGAGATTAAAAAATAGATTGAGTTAAACAATTGATATTTTCAAAAGGCCTTGGGGACATGATAAATCCACACCATAAGTCATATTTAAAAATAGCAATTAATCGATTTAAAAATATATTAATAAGTTCAACAGTCATTTATCTTTCTAACAATGTGCTTTTTATATCATTTATATGTATAATATGATTGCTAGATACGATTTTATTCGATAAAACGTTGGAATCTTAATTTTTAGGCGATAGTAGAACATACCTTGCGCTTTCGCTTAAGGCATGCAATATAATATCAAAATTTACCCAGCACAGGCGAAATAAAAAATACGAGTACAACAGGACAGAAAAAACAAACCAGTGGCCGTGGATAGAAAAGAGGTGATCTCCCGCCGGGCAAGGTGGTAGGCCCGGGGAGCAGCCAACGCTCTAAGTAGTAGTTCGAAGCTATTCTATATGCCTCATTTCCAGTAAAAAGGGCCTCCGGCCACCTGCACTCACCAAGCGAAACGCAGAGGTAAACCTCTACTTCACGCTGGTATTCTGTGAGGTCGTGGTACCACCCCGGTTCGAGCCGGCCCATCCGTGCGACAGCAAAAGCCGCCACGTGGCTCTAACACTGTTAAGACAGCGCCGCCACAGGTAGCATATTGTTTTTAAATAGCAATTATGTGGTATATATCACAATAATAAATATGATTTTGGCGATTTTCATTGTATTTTAGCACAATCACGGTCTAATGGAGGATGCAGGAAGTTTATAATGCAGGCTGTGGGGAGGGCGGCCTATGTTCAGAAGTGGATTGTTATGGGCTGTAATGATGATGATGATGACGACGGTCTAATACAACTAAATTGGATTGTGGCCAAGCACTGGCATATAATAAGTAAAAAAGCTATTTTTGAGTTTTTAAGAATCAACGACTGCTTCTGCTTTAAACTATAGTTAGTTACAGGCTATGTACGTCCCACTCTTGGGCACAGGTTTCCTCTCATTCCTAAAAGGATTTTACCGCCCCAATGCATGTTAGCGGATTTTACATGGTTTCGAAATATTTTTTTTTAATTTTTGGACATTCAGATTTCCTCCCAATGTTTTCCTTCACCGCCTAACACGTGAGAAATAAGCACTTAAAATCGTAATTATACAATTTCAGTGGTGGTGGTGGATTCAGCCGTGGTAGCTTCCAGGTTTGATACCCCCTGCTTCTGTTGACTTCACTATTGAATTAAGTGTTTGTTTTTCACTATAGGTTTAAAGAGCACAATGTGTCTGTATGATAGATATGACTTGATAGAAAAAAATAAAAAAACTTTATCCGTATTATATAACGATGAATATACTGAGATGACTTCATAGGATGCGTTCATAATGTGGTCTTTTGTCAAACTCATTGTAGCAGAGGAGTTGTTTGTATAGGTAGGTGTTTCATCTGTTTATGACTGTTATTTGGAAATTTTAAAAGTCGACGATTGAAGGTTGAGAATGGGTGAGCTACTCGTCAAATTATCAAGTAATAATTGCGTCGTCTGTGGCCGCGTTGTAAAATGAACGTATCATCAAAAGAAAGGGAAAGGAAAGTATACGCAAGTGAGACAATAGTATTTTTATTGAAAAGCAAGAAAATAAGCAATATGTGGAAAAATAATAGAAGGAGAGTCAATCAAGTGAAAAAAATTAAATGACATGTGGCATAAGAATGGAAGGAAAGATGGTCGTGCAAATAAAGAAAGTAAAACGACATGTGAAATAAGAATAGAAGAGGAGTTGGTCGAGCAAGTGAAGAAAGTAAAATGACATGTGAAATACGAATAGAAAGAGAGTTGGTCGAGCACGTGAAGAAAGTAAAATGATATGTGAAATAAGAATAGAAAGAGAGTTGGTCGAAACAGTGAAGAAAGTAAAATAACATGTGAAATAAGAATAGAAAGAGTTGGTCGAGCAAGTGAAGAAAGTAAAATGACATGTGACATACGAATAGAAAGAGAGTTGGTCGAGCAAGTGAAGAAAGTAAAATGACATGTGAAATACGAATAGAAAGAGAGTTGGTCGAGCAAGTGAAGAAAGTAAAATGACATGTGAAATAAGAATAGAAAGAGAGTTGGTCGAGCAAGTGAAGAAAGTAAAATGACATATGAAATACGAATAGAAAGAGAGTTGGTCGAGCAATAGAAGAAAGTAAAATGAAATGTGAAATACGAATAGAAAGAGAGTTGGTCGAGCAAGTGAAGAAAGTAAAATGACACGTGAAATAAGAATAGAAATAGAGTTGATCGAGCACGTGAAGAAAGTAAAATGGCATGTGAAATACGTATAGAAATAGAGTTGGTCGAGTAAGTGAAAAAAGTAAAATGACATGTGAAATAAGAATAGAAGAGGAGTTGGTCGAGCAAGTGAATAAAGTAAAATGACATGTGAAATAAGAATAGAAAGAGAGTTGGTCGAGCAAGTGAAGAAAGTAAAATGACATGTGAAATACGAATAGAAAGAGTTGGTCGAGCAAGTGAAAAAATTAAATTGACATGTGAAATAAGAATAGAAAGAGAGTTGGTCGAGCAAGTGAAAAAAGTAAAATGACATGTGAAATACGAATAGAAAGAGAGTTGGTCGAGCACGTGAAGAAAGTAAAATGATATGTGAAATAAGAATAGAAAGAGAGTTGGTCGAAACAGTGAAGAAAGTAAAATAACATGTGAAATAAGAATAGAAAGAGTTGGTCGAGCAAGTGAAGAAAGTAAACTGACATATGAAATACGAATAGAAAGAGAGTTGGTTGAGCAAGTGAAGAAAGTAAAATGACACGTGAAATAAGAATAGAAATAGAGTTGGTCGAGCACGCGAAGAAAGTAGAATGACATGTGAAATACGTATAGAAATAGAGTTGGTCGAGCAAGTGAAGAAAGTAAAATGACATGTGAAATACGAATAGAAAGAGAGTTGGTCGAGCAAGTGAAAAAAGTAAATTGACATGTGAAATAAGAATAGAAAGAGAGTTGGTCGAGCAAGTGGAGAAAGTAAAATGACATGTGAAATACGAATAGAAAGAGAGTTGGTCGAGCAAGTGAAGAAAGTAAAATGACATGTGAAATACGAATAGAAAGAGAGTTGGTCGAGCAAGTGAAAAAAGTAAAATGACATGTGAAATAATAATAGAAGGAGAGTTGCTTGAGCAAGTGAAGATTAACCCAAAATTGTGAATTGCCATTATGTGTCATCACATGCCTTTTTTGACAAATTCCGACTTCACACTATAGAGTGAAGAGTCCCATTCATCCTGTGTCCTGCATTCACTCTTCATTCTATGCCTATCGTTAGCATGTCTATCATCCCTGCTAATCAAAGCTACACAAACTAATCCACTTGCTCAACCAATTCCCTTGTATTTTTATTTCACATATAATTCTACATTATTCTCTAAGAAAATCTGAATGTGATGATTAATTTTTATTATGTTTACTATTATTTCCCTTTCTATTAATGCTTGATGCAATGCTTGATCAAGAATTTGACTTTTTAAGTTTGTATGAAAGCTAAAGCTGTCTATTTAAGCAAACAAAATTAAGCTTTCTGCTTTTCTAGCAAAAGGACATGGAATGTAAATAATTTGGAAACTGGAAAACTTAATTCCAGAAGAAGAGATTGACATAAAATTTTAAGATAGTATTGTAAAAGATGAATATGAAGTGAGAAATGAGTTTCTTCAATTATTTCAAATATACCTACTGAAATTACAATCTAGTCAAATTATTGTTGCAGTCACTTCTTACAGACATGCTGAAGTGAAAGTGAAGGTGTGCCGTCCGTATATATGATTTTTATTTAAGCATAATATTATGCATATAGATATTATTAAGATATTCTACGGGACCTTTCAATCTGTTATAAATAGCAAGTTTTTAATAAAAAAGCAGATGTATTCTGCGGAATGGATTGAGGTGATATGCTAGGGGTACCTAAATTTAGATTGACTAAAACTAGTAAGAATTTTTTAGTAAGTGCATAAAACTTTACAATAAAATATCTCATAAATGTGGTGCAACAGTCAGACACAAAATTAAAAAAACCGACATCTATGAAATACATCAATATTAAAACTGACATTTAAGATTTAATTTTTACTAACATATTTTTTTATAGAATAAGTGTAACAAAGAAGCATACAGTCCATCTGACTATAAGTAGATACTGGCCTATAGAAACCTACATCTATCCTTGACTAAAAATGAAAATTTAGATGCCCTGCCACCCCTGAGGACGAAACAGAATGCCTTCTATCCAGTAAAAAGGGTCTCCAGCTCTCTACACTCCCCACACAAAACAGCTGCATTGAACTACTATTTTATGCTGTTATTCTGTGAGAGTGTTGTCCTTCCCCAGTCAAGCGGACCCATTCATGCTACAACCATAATATAGCTGCAGAATAAAAAGTTTTGACTGAAATAATATTTTACTTAAAAACTCTCATTTAACAAAAATTTTGATTTTTCTTTACCAAAAAATAATAATACTACTAACCAGCTGGAGTAATATCAAAATCCCCTGGAAGAATTGAAGGATGATGAGCGACCTGAGTAGCTAACATAGCAACAGAATCATGTAAAGTTGCAATACTTCTTAAAATTGGACTTTCCAAGAGGTTAATAAGCATATTTAGGTCATCATTTGTTGCGGCCTGAAATATTAAATATACTATGTATTAATAATACTACAATAATAATAAAATTATAAAGATCAAGTTTATAACACTTACTAAAATTAAAAATATATTTAATATAATTCTATGCTAATGACTGTGAATTTACCTTGAGTTTTGGATCATCTGTTTGATCAACTGCAACCTTCACACTTTCTAATTGCTGGAGAGCATTTGATATATTTACTCCGAGGTGCATGCTACAATAAGATTAAAAATAACATTCAATAAATGGATAAAATCAAAAGCAGCTTAACATCATTTTTTTTATAATAAGTTCATCCATACAAAATCTTTCCATCCATTCATTACAGCCTTTTTAAGCTCAGGAAGCTGCTGAACACAGGCCTCCCCTATAGATTGACTCATAGAGGGGATTTTACCATAGTTGCCACTCTTGGCTCTTGGTAGGCAGATTTGCAAGCACAGTTTCTTGTTAATTTAAGTAATTATCGTAAGGATGCTGCTGTCCATCTCCTGTTTCAGTTTCCCTCTGTTGCCTCTTACAACACTCATGGGACAATATGGGGTAGTGGATAATCTTATGCTAATACTACCGTTATGAAAATATTTAGGCTCACCCTTAGATTAACTACTCAAAGTTAGCACTTTCAAATTACTGTCTAAAAAGTCTAACATTTTAAGTTACGTGTATAAAGTTTCAGCACTCAGAAATTCATTAAATTAATACAGTGGACCGGCCCCAGTAATCCGACAAACATTTTGCAGGGCATAGTCGGACTATCGAATTTGTCGGATTATAGAGTACTGCCTATAGTCCGGATTTTTTTTATAAAAGAGTACCTTGTAATCTGACAAATTCCAGATCCAATGATAAGATTCTAAATGTTATATATGTACTCTGAAGTACAAATTATACTTCATTATGTATGTCAAATTTAATAATTTAAACAACACAATAGGGATCTTACATTTTATTATAAAATTAATGTCATTAACCTGTTAATCGGATAAGACGCGTAAATGCGTCAGGCGTAAACAATATCGGGTACGGGTAGGGCAATGAATACGTCCTCGAAAATTAATTTGCACCCTGGAACGGACGGGACGTATATTTCCATCGGCTATCTCGGCATGAATCGACATGCACATGGAATCAGAACAATTTCGCTATCGTGAGTGATAGACGTGTTTTGTGTGACCATCGACGGGTACGTATTTACACTTACCACCTATTTTATTTTTCTATTTAATTTAATTAAATGCTGACAAATACATGCAATGGCTATAAAAATATTTCTATTATATATTATTTTTATTTTCAAACTTTTTGAATTAGTAAACAAGTAAACAAAATAGAATTACACAATAGGTACATATAAAAATGAGTTTAGAATTTTTATATGTACCTATTGTGTAATTCTATTTTGTTTACTTGTTTTTACTTGTTTTGTGACTGCTTTTGTACTTCAAAAATATTAATAAACTACAGTGGAGCGTCGATTATCCGAACGTCGGTTAACCGAACGACCGCTTATCCGAACTACTACACCCGCCCCATAGACTTAGGATATACACCCGCCCGACCCGCGCGTGCTTCTCTCCCACCTCCCGCGCTACAATGCTCGTGCACTTGTCACCATTTGTTAATTGTACTCGTATATCAGTTCCAAGTAACCGCTAGTCGATAAACGAAATTTTGACGCATGAAAGTATAATCGCGATTTAAAATGTCTAAACGTAAACGTGTTCTCCTTTCTATGAAAGATAAATACGAAATAAATAAACGGTTAGAGGAAGGCGAATCTGCAACCAAGTTATCCCTTGAATACCAAGTTGGTAAGTCTACCATTACAGATATAAAAAAAAAACAAAAGACGAACATAAGTAACGTTATATCTCAGCTTGATTCTTCTAACGGATCCACGAGTCGTAAAACGATGAAACTTGCCTCAAACACGAATTTAGATGATGCTGTATATAACTGGTTCACTCAAAAAAGATCCCAGGGAGAAACAATTTCTGACCCAATTCTGTGTGAAAAAGCAGTTCAATTTAACGAAAAAATTGGAGGATCGTCAAATTTTCAAGCAAGCACAGGCTGGTTAAAACAATTTAAGTCAGCTGCTGATTCATCAGCAGCTGATTAATTCAAAATCAAACTAAGGGATATGCTGAAGGAAGAAAATTACGCTCTCGATAACGTTTATAATGCAGACGAAACCGAGCTCAATTGGAAAGCTTTGCCATGAAAAACTCTTGCTTCATGTCGTGAATTAGCAGCACCTGGTCCTAAAATAAGCAAGGACCGTATTACTGCCTTAGCATGTGCTAATGCTACTGGCAGCCACCGATTGCCCATACTTGTAATTGGTAAAAGCAAGAAACCACATTGTTTCAAACACGTTAATATGTCTGCGATGCCTATCGTTTACACTTCACAAAAAAATGCTTGGATGGATAGTACAATTTTCATGAAATGGTTTACAGAAACTTTTATACCCTCTGTAAAAACCCATCAATTAAAAAATGGTAAAAGAGAGAAAACATTATTGCTTCTTGATAATGCCCCAACTCATCCATCATTGGACATCTTAAATGAAAAAGACGAGTTTATAAAAATCATGTTTTTTCCACCTAATGTGACTTCATTATTACAGCCTATGGATCAAGGCGTTATTGAGTCTTTCAAATGGTATTATAGAAAAGAATTGTTACGTAAGTTACTTTTGGAAAAAGAAGAGGAGGGAGAAGAAAGCCTGACAAGAAATCATAAGAAGATTGATTTAAAAGATGCGTCCTACATGATCAGAGCAGCATGGGATAGTGTAAAAGAGCAGAACTTGAAAAAAGCGTGGAATAAAGTTTTGTGTATGGGGGAAAATCCTCAAAGTGAATGTGTAAATGAGAGACAGGAAGATATGTCTGAAATGATAGATATGCTAAAAAAGCTCGATTGCCACGAATGTGATGAAGAAGAAGTTCAACAATGGATGGATATCGACGATGAAGATCCTGGGTACCAAATTATACAGGATAGCGATATTTTAGACCTCATGTAGTAGGACCTCATAAGGCTGGCGCCACCACGAGCACCTCATCAACTACAAGTTCAGATAATGAAGACGAAAACATAATTGTGCTTCTGAAGCATTTACTTGTTTATATATTGCCTTGCGTTGGTTTGAAACACAGGCCGAAAGCGACCAGTATCAAATATCTGTCCTTAAAAAAGTACGTGACTTAGCCGCTCGTAAGAACAAAATTTAACAAAATTTTTGTTTCCACTTTTTTTTGTTTAATTCCTATTTGTCATTAAAGATGTAAATATACATATGGTTATTATTTACCTGTACGTAAATATGTATAGCTGAATCAATATATGTACATAGAGGAAGTTCGATTATCCGAAAATACCGGTTTTCCGAACACCCATGTCCCCCAATTAGTTTGGATAATCGACGCTCTACTGTATATATATTTCATGGTTTTTTCATTTATTGTATGTATAAATAAAAATATAGAAATATGAAATGACAGTCTCCGGGCGTGACGTATTGACATGTCCTAGTGAAAGAATACGCGCCCCGTACATGTTGCATAATTTGAACGGGAACTTAACCTGTTAACAGGTTAATAATGTATTAGAAAATAACTTTACATTAGAAAATAATTATGTACAAACAAATGTACATACTAAAATAATCAAAAATTATGAATCAAGTTATAACTTGTTCAATCACGCATTTACAAAGATTGCCAAAAAATATCTAATAATTAATAATAGACTATATTGGATTACAGGGGGTGCCGGATTAGACAGAGGCCGGATTACTGGGGATCCATTGTACCAAAATTACTTATTAATTAATTTTCTTTTCAAAGCACTATACAATAGTCTTGCTCGTTTGACATGAGGGTACACATTTCTCATGTTACATTTTGTTAAAGGTTGTGTTGGAGTTTCATAGATTTTGAATATTGTTACTTTTGTACTTTGTAAATTAAAAATAACTTTAATTGAATTATTTATAAAATATATGTTAAAGTTAAAACTAAATCCCGGTCAAAACTAATTGTGACCGACGAAACTGAAGATGTTTAGTAAAAATAAGTGTTTGAGTTTAACAAAAGCTTTATTGCCAATCGATTTAAGAACAATGTAGTTTGTTCTTGGCTAAATTAGTACTTGATAATTTAGGGAAAAGTGATATCAGCAACAGTAGTTTGAGATGAAATTTATAAAATAAAAACTACTTTTCAGAGGATAGGTGTGGCACCAATCCAATGTTTATAATCACAAATTATCTTTCAAAGGGAAGTAACCACCTATAGGTACAATCATTTATTGTCTCTTAGGGACATACCGCAGTTTTTTTAAAGTAGATATTAGAAAGATGCTGTTGCCAATCTTCGGGTTTGTTTCCAGCTGTTGTCTCTTACGACATCCATGGGAGGATATAGAGAAGTGGAAATTCTTACACTGCCACTACATGGTTCAAATTTAAGATGATAATAAGATGTAAAATCTACAAACTATTCATGTCTAAGAATTAAAGCAAATCAAAGTGTCGCAACAGAATGCAATAAAATCACGAATATAAAAATAAACTTACGTTGTTACTAGTTACTACTATATTTTTAATCTTTATTCCTTGCTTTGAGGTAAGGTATTTCTTCTACCATATATAAAATAATCTATGTCTTATGCTGTGCAGATTTATGAATAAATATTAAATAATACACACAAGGATTATCGGAACTGTCATAATAACACACATAGACAAACTATATAGAAACCAAAGAGTATAGTAACTGTCCATAGAAACACTATAGTTGTTGTTGTTTTTATTATTTGCTCGAGAGAACAGGCAAAGGAACTAAGCCATACAGCCTTGTCTTTTTTATTTTGAATATATAGAATTTTAAAGTGTAAAGGCCGGAACCAAGTCTTATTTTTCTTCGTTCCATCTCTTCAAAATCCATAAAGGCCGAAGTCATGTCTTATTTTCTTTAAATCTTCATATTTTCAAAAACCCGTAAAGGCTAAAGGCAAGTCTTCTATATATTATATTCTTTGTAGGTTTCAATCCGTGTAGATTTGTCAATCCAATATTTTCAAAAACAGGGATACCATATTTCATATTTCTTTTACAGTATTATGAATAAAATTGCAAAGTGCTAAATATGTCTTAGTATTCCTAAAAACATCTTGCAGGGCACGCGGGACGCTTTCTAAATTTTCATAAACTTTTACTATACTATTGATGCAAAACAAAGGAAGCCATACTCAAAATGGCTCCTCACCAAAGACATATAACATTAACAATATTTCTGGATCAGCTCCCCAGTTAGTACTAGCCAAAGCTTTTAATACAATAAAGGCCTTAGAAGCTCTGTCTGTAATAGAATTCACGTATTTGGTCCAACATAAATTATTTGTAAAAATTACACCTAAGAATTTTGCACAACTTTCTATTGGTAAAAATGTATTATTATAAATTATTCTATTGTTAAATGGACGAATTTTATTAAATATTACAATTTTACTTTTCTCAGTACTAATATCTAAATTTAAGTATGAAAAGTAAATGTGCAATTTCTTTAAAGCCTCATTTAAAATGTTTACCAAGTTTTGACATTTGCTCCTGAGGCGTATATGACCAAATCATCTGCATATTGTAAATTAGTAACATTTGATCCTAAAATATTGTTTAATTTAAATATGTATAAAATAAAGATAAGAGGACTTAATATTCCTCCTTGACAAACACCTTTATAACTGAGCCTAGGACCAATAATTGTATTATTATTATTTACTTTAGCAAAAACTCTTCTTTCATGTAAAAAGTTAAATATTCATTTTACAATTTTTTCAGGAATGGCCAAAGACCTCAACTCTGCGGCGAGTACATGAAGATTGACGTTAGAGATGAGACATACTTGCAAAATTTATTACCAGGGCTTCTAAGTACGAGTATGGAAAAATACCAGGGTCGAAAACCAGGTTTTAAAAATACTTGAAAGTATTTGTTAATGTGAATATATATATGAATGCCTAATTTGATTCGGGCCAAAATTTATACTTACTTACTTACTTACTTATCTTCACGCACAATCCCTGACGGGGTAGCCAGAGAGAACAGATCGCCAAGTGTCACGATCCTTACATATCTCTTTCGCTTCTTTCAGATTCATTATCTTCTTCATACATGCACGTCTAGGTATCCGAGTACTCTTGACCCTACCCTCTTCGAGCAATTTGCTCACATGGTCTTCGAAAGTTAGTCTCGGTCTACCTCGACACCTTTTAATATTAACTTTCGCGCTATATATTTTCTTCACCATTCGGTCTTCACTCATTCGCTCAACGTGCCCAAACCACCGAAGCACGCCCTTATCAATTTTTGTGATAAGGTCATCTTTCAAACCTGCCATATTGCGAATCTCTTCGTTTCGCTTTCGGTCGGCCATAGTAACGCCGCACATTTTACGAAGAGATCGCATCTCCACTGCATTCAACTTACTTTTATGCTTCTTCTGGCATACCCAGGTTTCGCTGCCACTGTACCTTTTTAAATTTTTTTTGGTAACGAAATGAAATCTTTCCTTCCTACTTTTCGGCTTAGGACTCTTAATAAATAAAAGTTTTAGAACTGTCTCTAAATTCAATATACACGCGAAATAACTATTTAAAAATTAGGTCACGGTCAGTAGGTTACGTAATCAGTTCACAATAATAATTGAATTTACAAGAAATCGAAACAAAACTTTCACTTCCCCGAATATAAACATAATTCTTATTACTTACTAGCTACTTACGCGACGTGTCCAGCCGCGGTGTCAGTTTGAAAATACTTGCAAAGAGTATAGTAATATATAAGGAAGAATACTTGCATAGGAATTCGACCCGCTTTCCATGTTAGGCTATTATGACTAAGGAGCAAATTCGTATAAATAAAAAAATACTTTCAAGTTCAAAGTTTTTTTTTTTTTTTTTTATAGGATGAGGGTGACAAACGAGCACACAGTCCACCTGATGGTAAGTGGTTGCTGCGGCCCATAGACATCTACATCTATCCTCTGTTACAAATCAAAATGTAGATGCGTTGTCACCCGTGAGGACTAAGATGGAATGCCTCATTTCCAGTAAAAAGGGCCTCCGGCCACCTGCACTCACCAAGCGAAACGCAGAGGTAAACCTCTACTTCACGCTGGTTTTCTGTGAGGTCGTGGTACTACCCCGGTTCGAGCCGGCCCATCCGTGCGACAGCAAAAGCTGCCGCGTGGCTCTACCACTATTTTTAATTCACAAATACGATTGAGTTTCTTATTACTATTGAGATATGGATCATTTTCCTATGCAAGTATTCTCATACTTGCAAGTATTTTTTGGTCGTAAAAGGGCGCCGTACTTTAAAGTTAAAACCTGGTAGCGTAAATACGTCTCATTGCGACGCGAGGGACGTGTTCAGCCGTGGTGTCAAAATTTGAAAATACTTGCATAGGAATTTCACCCGTATTCCATGTTATCCTACTATGAATAAGGAGCAAAGTCGTATAAATAAAAAAAAATACTTTGAAGTTCTAAGTATTTTTCGTTAACAAATACGATTGAGTTCCTTACTACTATTGAGATATGGATGATTTTCCTATGCAAGTATTTTCATACTTGCAAGTATTTTTTGATCGTACCAGGGCGCCGTACTTTGAAGTGAATACCTGGTTTTAAAACCTGGTAGTGTAAATACGTCTCATCTTTAATTGACGTTATTAAATGAATATATACTAATTAATATTTCATTATTTTCCATAGCTTTAAAAATGTCTAAATGTAGAAATGCAATACATTCTTACGGCGTCTGAATCCAAACTGATTTGATGGTAAAAGACAATTTCTTTCTAGATAAAATTCTAATTTAGATTTTATAAGTTGCTCAAATATTTTACCCATACAAGATATAAGTGCCATAGGTCTGTAAGATTCTGTAATGTGAGGTTTTTTCCAGGCTTTAAAATGGGTATCAAACAATCTTCGTTCCAATTGTTAGGAATAAGTGAATGAAACCATAACATATTATATAATATATATTTTCAAAACTAGTTCTCTACACACAGTATTCATATTTTTTAAAGCTTTATATGGAACAGAATCTAAACCAAAAGTAGTGTCTTTTCTAGAGTTAACAGCTGAGTTGAATTCGGTCAAGGTAAAAGGTTTGGTAAGATAATCACAATGATTATCATTTGAGGAGTTAGGGGTTAGAGGTGATTCATCTGTTTCTGGAGTATATTTTTTCAAAAATTCATTAGCCCAATTAGAATCTATGACAGATGTGTTATTGTGAACAAAAGTTTTGTTAAACTTTTTAATGTAGTTCCATACTCTAGTCAATGGAGTAGATCTATTAGTTTTACATAGTTTTTTCCAGCTAAGATGTCTTTCACTCTTCAAAGTAATTTTTTTAACAGCTTGTAGTCTTAAAATTAATATAATTTTGTTCTGTGGGATCATTCTTAAATACTAAATATGCATTTTTACAATTTAATACTGCCTCTTTGCATTTTAAATTCCACCAAGGTAGAAAATTTTTCTTTCTAATTCTTTTAAAAGATTGCAAGTTGATGTTAACATTTAGATTAGAAAACTGATTGGATGGTGTGGATTCATGCATGGCTTGTTTAACTAGTTCTATTAAGTCTGTATAACATTGTAAAGGATTACTATAATCAAAACTATAATTTTTAATTAAATTATCTATTAAATTTGTATATTTTGAACAATCTACCAATTTTAAGTTTATGTTATTTGATACAGCTGTTTCTTGAAAATTTTGACTATTAACCGTAATTTTTGTCTTTACAGGAAAATGATAGCTGCCTAGATAATCATCATCACATACTTGCCACTCACAAGACAGAGCCAGTGAAGATGAAACAAGTGTCAAGTCTAATGCATTCTGCCTCCATCTATGAGATCCTACTGTAGTCATCTGACCATCATTCAAGTTTACAAGATTGTTGTAAACTTGACAATACTTGCAAAGACGTCCCTACCTCGTGAATCTAATTCAGTACATCCCCATAACGTGTAATGGGCGTTGAAATCACCAGCTATAAAGACTGGCTGTGGCAAACTTTGAATTAAATTATCTAATTTGGATTTATTATAATTAATTGATGAATTAGGGGGACAGTAAACACTAACTAAAGTTAATAATTTATCATTGTATTGTATTTGTACAGCTATATTTTGTAATGAGTCATCAGAGAATGTATTGATAACACGAAATCCAATTTTGTTATGTAGAAGTATTGCTACTCCATTATGATCATTACCTGAATATAATCGTATAATATTATAACCTTTTACTCTAAAATTGTGCCTAGGTTTAAGCCAAGTTTCACATATGAGAGCAACATCTATGGTGTTCTCATATAAAAATTGTGTAAATTGAAAGCGATTTTTAATTAAACTCTGTGCATTCCATTGTAAAATGTTAAACTGATCCATAAATTATTAAATGTCAAATAATGAAATATCTATTTTGGTTTCATTGTATCTATGAGAACATCTTTAATTAGCTGAGAAGATATGGTGGTTTGTTCATTTGATTTATTAAGAGTTAATACTTTAATGACTGTATTTAAAATTATATTAATAATGTCATCATTCTTTAGCAGTGACATAAGAGCATCTTTGGGATTTTTTTTTTGTTTAATTCGGGGAATTCGTTTTTATTAAAAAGGTCTACAAACGGGGTTTTGTGTATTTTAGCCTGATTTTCTTTT